CCTTTCGATTATTGAAGTTCAAACTATCTGGCATAAACAACTAACGACAAGTCATCTTCATCATTAGTCAATCCTTGATCTTCCAGCCATTCTGCGTGTTTAAAGGAGTGTTTTATCGTATTGCTTGTCAGCTCGTCCCAGGATTTACTTATCATTAGGATGGCGTGAAGAACGTTAATTTGGGGATCGCTATCGTTCTCAAAAAATTCCATCAAAAGACTTGCTGAAGGACGCTCGTGTTTGCTGGCAGGAAACAAAGTTCAATGTTTTAAAGGTCGCACAGTATAGGATGAGCAGGACAATTGTCTACAAGCAGAAGAATTTTTCACCCCTTAAGTTCGACATCCCATTTTGTTATCGCTTCTTCAAAAATTTCCGAAATTATCCACGCAATCTGGTTTGCACTGTAGGTCGCGGGTAGATTTTAGATGTTTTTAAAGCAACATAGGGATTTCGACCACTAAAACCGTAATGCGTTCTTTAGAGAGCTTTTTACCAACGCACTTTTCAGATTTAAATTTTAATGATAATAAATATGTCGTCTGACGCATATCGTGCCCTCAGACCAGGTCACACGTTTAGTAGCCAATTATCCGATAAGTTTTTGTTAATATTTAGAGCCTCTCCGCTATTCTGCCCATAGTTAATCTTGTGCAGCTTCTACTTGCTCAACCAACCCTTCATCATCATCAACTAGCCTCTAACGTCCACTGCTGAACATAGGCCTCTCGCATGCTTTTTCACTTAGTCCGATTTTGCGCCATCTGAATCCAATCCAACCAACCCTTATATATCTTGAAATTTTCAGCTGCAAGCTCAGTTTGAAAAACTCAGCTTTTTTTATGAACACAGGCCCAGAAAGTAGAATATAGTTCATACGCTGCTGCTGGAAGCACTGAAGCACAGCGCGATCTAAATCTTCGTGCTGAGGTGTTCGCAACTTCTTCCTGTTATCGCCCTCCATTGTTGCTGAAAGCCACTTTTTTCTGCCCTTCCATATCGTAAGCACAGTTGACTGAGACAGCCTTGTATGATGAACAACATCTGATTGCTTTCCATCTTTCTCCATTGCCGGAGTTATCGATAACTTTTCTTCTACCGAGATCATTTACGCTTTTTCGAAACATGTTAACTGTTCACACACGGAGGCACAAATGAAACTGGAAGTGAGAAGTCGTCAATAGATAACTAGATCTGTGTGAAAACAGTTAGGCATGCCGTGCGAACAATAAAAGCTTGTCTCTTAACCTTTGGATAACAATGAGTAGGAGAGGTGGCCACATTCCTTAAGCAAGAAAAACAAAACAACCGCTGGCAATGACCTTGCCACTCGTGACTTAAGTAGTCTGGGCTTTAAATACAATATAATTGTTATCGACTATTGAACGCTGAAAAGTCATCGCTATAAAGAGAAAACGATATCGGTAATAGAGGAATTATCGTTATAAAGGGAATCAATACAAAGAGAAACTACTGTATATATATATATATATATATATATATATATATATATATATTGTTATGATATGTAAAATCGAGAAAAGTATTGGTTTGCTTAAAATATTTTAAAGTTCAAAAACATTAAAATAATTCAGATAAGTCAAATACTGAACAACAAACATTTCGAAGAATGAAAGTCTTTTAATTTTGGATTACCTGTATTTAACAAAACGTAAGAAAATTTAGAATTGGTAGGAAAAGATTTTGTAAATAAGTTTTAGGAAATTTTATAATTGTAGGTAAAAATTTGGGTATTATCGAAATGAAGAAATGGGAGATGTATGACGCGTTTTGATTGGATGAGATTGGAAAAGGTGGGAGGTTTGGTTTGAGAATGAGACGTTAGTTAGTTTTGGAAGAAAAATTGATAGTTGTTGGTTTCCAATGGTGCAAGGCGAACGGCCGCTGTTCTCGGGTAGTTTCCCAAAGGTAGGAAGCAGTAGCAGTGAAAGTTTGTGAGTTTTCGTGTAGTTAGTGTATCTGACAGAAGCTGATCCAGTAAAAGATTGTAAGTTATATTTTCTACTTATATTCCAAGAGTCACTGTTCAGGCGAGAGATTCCAACGAGAGATTTAGTTTATCGTAAAGAAAAGATATTCCAAAAATCATTTTTCACTCAGGCCAACGAGAGATTTAGTTTATTGAGAGAAGAATAAGCTAGCATAATTTGAACGATTCGTGCATTTGAAGAAGATCATTAACGACAATAAACTTGCAATAATTTGTTGTAAGATTGCTGATTATCTAGGGAGCGACTAAGAGTAGATAGTATAGAGTACAGGGAACAAGGATTTGGACCACTCATCATCAAAGAGAGATAGTTTTGTTTTCTGCAGTTTTTCTTTTATTGATAACACGATTTTTACACTTATTTTAGAAAAGATATAAATATTTCGATTAGGAGATTTAGAATAATATTTGGGATTTTAAGATTTCAACTAATATTGTTTGTACCATTAATTTTGAAGGTTCACGTACGTAGAACAAAATTTTGAGAATCAATATATGAGATTTTGTTTATTGAAAATTTTTGAGTGTGAAGTTTTGAATTTTATTTCATTACTTTTATTTCAATATATATGTTAGATCCTATATGTTTTTTTATTATTCCGGTATTCTTTGGACCTTACCTTTCACATGTAATAGCATAGATATTGAAGCACGAATAGAACCCTGAGATAAGAGAATTATAAAGTGTGATAGAATCATAGTCATATCATTTAAATAATTTTAATTAATTAATTAATTAATTAGCTAATTAATTGCTTGGCGCACTAAGACTTGAAATATCACAATAATATATATATATATATATATATATATATATATATATATATATTTATATATTTATATATATATATATATGTATATATATATATATATACCTATATATATATATATATATATATATATATATATATATATATATATATATTGCAACTCTGGTTCTTCACTTTCTTTCAAGTATTCTATTTTGGTTACAATTATTTAGATTTTAACTAAAGTATGGGGCAAGAAGCATTCCGATTTAAGGCCCTTTGTTATTCAAAGCAATTCTAAAAAAGTATTTTTCATCTTAACCACACTCTGTGGATTCTTGTGAAAAAACCATTTTTGGTATTTTTCCATGTTTTAAGCATACAATCTCCTTTAAATGTCACAAATAACAAATTTTGTTTCTCTTCCACCTTTATTCGGGTGGTGAATATCGTTTAAATATTTTGGTGTCCAAAAACACTGTGATTTTTTTCAGATTTTTTGGATCAAAATTGAGCTCAGCAAGAATATTTGAATTTTTCAAAGAATTTTTCGGTTATGAGGGTAATTATTGCAAACTTGGCAAACTATTTTGAGCATGTTCTGACCTGAAAATGGCAAACCTAATCCCACCATTAGAAATAACGAAAAAATAAGAAAAACTGATGTTTATTGACAGGCACTTGAGTTTATGTGTTAAAAGTGTGGGTAAAATAGTAAGAAATAGGAGTTTTCGAATTTTAAAGATGTTACAGTGAGAAATCTAACCTCGCTATTTAAAAGATCAGAACAAATACACAAAAAATATTGATTTAGAAGTTTGCCAAAAATTACTTTACATAACCTAAAATTTTTTTAAATTCAAATATTTTTCCTGATCTCAATTTATTCGAAACAATCTGAAAAAATCACAGTGTTTTAGGCACGAAAATACTAAAAGATAATCAACACCCGAATTAAGGAGGGAGAGAAACAAAATTCGGTATTTGTCACATTTAAATTAGATTATATGCATAAAACATGGAAATAATATCAAAAAAGTGGATTAAAAAAAGCAAAAAAGGATCAATCAAAAAAAATTTTTCAGAAAAAACACATTTTATGCGAAATGGGACTCCAATGGCCACTTAGGAAGCTAAAATTGGACTAAAGTGTTTTCTAAATTTGTACTTTTAACTGCCTAGCCTCAAGTAAAAATCCAAATAACACAAGAGTGTTGTTTTCTTTAGAAAGTGTTGAGAACAAGATCATCTACAAATAGTTAAGTCTTTTAGGATTTAGGTAGATTATTTATGATTTTATTTATTGCTATTGATAAGTTTAGTACTGACCCCTAAAGAGTTTCATTTTCGTCCATTTTTCCTCTGAGTAAACATTGTAGACTTGCACATTAGGCAGTCGCCTATAATGTTCCATAGGTATAATTATCGTATGCAATTAAAATTCCAGCAAGTCTTAAACGCATTTTAAATCGAAAAAATAGCAATACAAGATTTCTTCCTAATGCTTCACGAGTGTCACTTTTTAAGTTAAGAATATTGTTAATTCCCGATCGATTCTATCTGAAACCACTTTCATTCTGCGAATAAAATTGAGCATTAAGCAGTGAATCTCTTTAAAGTTTTTAATGTCGATATTAGCGTAACATAAATATTTTTCAAAGTGATAAGGATAAGTTAAATCGAAGAGACAAGATAAAACAAAATAAATTAAATTGAAAAAAAAGTCATTATTTTTTATCCTTTTTTTATTGTGTATGTATTTTTTGTATATGTATTTGATTGCTGTTTAATTCTGACAAGATCTACTTCATCTGAATCTTGTCTACAATACTAGTCCTATTATAAGTTGATTTTCTACCGTCGCGTCGTCGTTGTATATATCATTGTAACTTATTAATGATACTTTTCTCAGATTGTGTGTTATTCTCACTTACATATTCTGACCCCAGTACTCTAAAATGTTTCTCTTCATTGAGAAGCAAAACATAAAATAATTACCTGAATGCTGGATGTTTTCGCCAGCGCCTTCGCCCAAATTTTAACTTATCCGCCAATTTTTAAACAAGTAAAGTGTGAAATGTGTTGCCTACAGATACGGGGAAATATATATTTTTTAAGCTCTTAGATTCGAGAAAGCTTACGTGTAGTAATACTTTTTAGCTATTTTTATCTATAAACTGTTCAAAGACAAACCAATTCTCTCATTCATAAAATTAAAATGCTTTGATTCTCTAAATCTACTTAATTTGGTTTAATTGTGATCTACTAGTTAATAAATACAACCGAATACATATATTTTTAATTTATTTTTAATAGTAATCAAATAAAAATAAAATATTTGCTAGTCCCAGTATTCATATAGATCCTCATCTACCTCGTCGGTACAGTTCTCGTTCTTGGAAAGGATTAGTCTGTCTGTATCGATTTCATATGTATTTAATAAAGCGTATAAGTCTGATCTCAATTCTGCGTTTATTTCAGTTTTCCGGCCCCATATCCATACCATATCTGAAAATAAATTGAGCAGTGAATCTCAAAAATTTGAAAAATTTAATAAAACATTCTGGTAAATGTTATATTTGTATTTTGAAAACTAGTGTTGTTCAATGAGAAATATGCATTTTTGTTTTTATGAATTTAATAAACTTTGTAGAATTCCTGTTCGATGAAAGGTGAAAGAATTTTATTGTAAAGTAATATATTATTAACACAACCCACTCCCAATATTGATTATGAACTATCCGTAAAAATCCCGTATGGATTATCAAGCATGGCTATCTGACGCTGAAAATCAATTGGATTCTTATTCTCAAAATTTGGGAAATTTACATAGAATTTGGCATATAAGATATTGAAATTCAATTGAAAAGAAGTTAATTTACCTAGACTGTTGAGAAACGTGAGGATGTGCTACTGCCAGAATAGGATAATTTTTTTTTTAAAAGTGAAACTGGAACAAACCATGAAGTGGAGATATCCAGGAGTGGCTAGTATACCTGTTGAACACAAAGCACGTGGTGTTCGTGTGTATTAAGGTATAAAAAACCTTAATACACACGATATTTTATACTAATATGTTATAATATTTTATACCTTAATACACACGAACACCACGTGCTTAGGATAATTTTTATTATGTCACCATTTGCCGACAAGGTTAGAAACAGGGATCTCACGAATTTTTTTTTAATAGTTCAGTGTAGTTTTTGGGAATAAATTTTTCAGATAAAAATAGTTGTCTTATATGTAAAGGAAGTTTCACATATTTAACTAAAAAATTCTCTTTGGGTGTAGATTTGAGCGCAATCACCTGAAATGCGGTCTAGATACCTGGAAAATCTAGAGGCTCGTGCTCCCACCTACATTCAAGACGTACTATTTTTCTTCTTTCTTGTATCAAAAAGTTGTATGAGAGAATACGTGCACGTATGGAGAAGGTGATTGTGATTCTGGAGGCCTGTCTCCGAGACAATATGATTTCTGCCAGGGTAAAATTACAATAGATACGGTGATCGATGTATTTCGGGCGTCACGGGAAAGTGGGGCTGAATGGGTCATCCATTTATTTAATTTAGTGATTTGGCCTAGATATATATACTCTTCTATTCTACTGTTTTGTAGGGAATTCTGTACTGCTAAGTGTTCCACACTATCAAATGCCTTCTCGAAGTCAATAAATGCCATGTATAGCGAAATATGATATTTTTTCGATTAAAATCTTCATCGTTAAAAGGTGGTCACTTGTACTAAAGCTCTTTCTAAATCCGGTTTGTTCTCTTGCCTGGTATTCATCTAATTTACTTGTTAATCTATTTGTTAATAATTTGGGTAATAGTTTGTACATCACATTTAGTAAAGTTATGGGTCTGTAATTTTTTAGATCCTTTTTATCTCCTTTCTTAAATAGTAACAGTGTTATTGCTTCGTTCCAACCGTTGGGTATTTGTTTTGTCATTAGTATTTCATTTTAGCATTTCTTAGCATCTTAAGCATTTCTACAGTCACCCCGTCTTTTCCTGGCGATTTATTATTCTTCATCTCTTTGAGTGCTCTTTTTATCTCGTTCTTACTGATTTCTGGTTGTAAGTCGGAATTAACATTTTTTATTTTTATTTGTAGTTGCTTAAGGATTTCTTGGGTTGGTTTCTGTTTTGTATTGTAGAGGTTTTTATAATATTCTTGTGTTATCTGTATGATTTCTTCTATATTATTGGTCTCTGTACCTTCTTTGTTCTTTATACCATTAATTTGTATGGTTCCAAGCTGTGGTTTTAAGCACTTCATGTTTTTATTTTGTTCAATTGCTTTTTCTATTTTTTCTTCCTGTACTCTCATTTTATAATCCTTGATATTCCTTCTGATAGCTTTGTTTACCTGTTTGTAATCTACTGTGTTTCTCTTATCTTGTTCCAGTAATGTTTTTCTTTTACTCATGAGATTTTTTGTTTCCTGGGATACATAGTTTTTCTTTTTTATTCTTGTTTGTGCTACCTCTTTTCCCGCCTTTGCTAATGTATCGGTTAATAGCTGATTTATTTCATCGATATTTTTGTTTTCCAAATCTCTAGTGACCGGTATACTTTCCTTTATTTTTTGTTTAAATTCGTCTTTTGATTGCTTGAGTTTTTCCATATCTAGTTTCGATACATTTTCCATTTTCTTTTTTGTTTTGAATTGGCTATTAATCCTGAGTTTGGCTCTGACAAGTCTATGATCGCTACCGGTTGAGAAGCGGTTCAGTACTGTAACATCTTTGATGATGGTTTTTTGTGTTGTAAGGATGTAATCTATTTCTTTTTTTGTATTACTGTTGGAACTTATCCATGTCCATTTTCTTTGTGGTTTTTTTTTTTGTTAAAAAACGAGTTCATAGCAAAAAGTTGTCTCTCCTCCAAGTAGTTCATTAATGTGTGTCCTCTATTATTTCTTTCGCCATATCCATACTCTCCAATTCTGTGCTCTTCTCCATCTATTCTTCCCCCTAATTTGGCGTCTCCAATCTTCAATTATTAGCGTCAATTTAGTTTTCTTTTCTTCCATAGCGAGTGTTAGTTAAGATAAAACTATCCACCTTAAATAGCTTTTGAAAAAAAGCGCAAAACACATCAATTAGTATTTGAAGGAGGAGACATTATGTCATATTTAAAGTTGCTGGGAAAGGCATCCTCTGACCCCCCATATCATGCCTTATTTTTTTTATTCCTTCCACCTTTGTTTATTTGATATAACTGATTTTAAAATTGTATAATACATGATGCTTAAAGTGATTAGTTTATAAGAAAAACAAATACAAAGGAACTGGATTTTTTAACAATTTTATTACAACCATTTAAAATAAACATTTCACTACCAAAATCAAATCAAAATAAAAATGCATATACTTCTTAAATATGTTTTTATTGTAGAGAAATGTGCTCGGGCATGTTGGATGCAGGGTGGTTCAATTTTTAATATCTTATTCATGTAATATTACAAAGTCACTATACTCAACTATAATTTCTAGTATTGAAACGATCGTAAATAATGATGATAATAACAAGACTATACCGACAATAATGAGGAGGAGGCAAAGAGGAAAGATTTTCAATTTGTTTGAGTTCCACTAGATGAAATAATTTCATGTGATCGTGACTTGTAAAACATGACAAAGAAATTTTAAAATGGCGTTGAGGTATCGAGAGGTTTAATATTTATGACATTGAATAAAGAACGAGAACTTTAGGTTGTCGTTAGAACTTGCTAAGGAGACAATTTTTGTTCATTTGATGAACTATTTCAGATACACTGAATAAAATAAAAACGAGAATAATATTTAAGCGAGTATTTTTAATATTAATACTAATATTATAAAAAGAAAATGGGAGAAAGACAGAAGTTATATATACGCCATAAAAAACAACCTATTTACACATAGACCAGGTAAGTAGTGGATATTATTCTTGCATAGCTTTTCTAAAATAATAAATAAAATTATACAAAAATAATCGATGACATTAATTAAAAATGGAAGACAATAAAATTTTTTGTCTACTAGATCCATGGAAAATTAAATTAAACTAGCTTGTAAGAAAGAAAAAGGGCTGAAAGAACGGCGATATATTGAATATGATAGAATAGCGTAGAGAAGAAAAAGAAGAAAAAGTGGAAAAGAAAATGTAATGGCATGAGAATCCCTCTCAATGACGAGATTACATAAGGTGTACAGTACACCTTATGTTTCGCTGATGACCAAGTACTGATTGCTCAGGATCATGACGACTTGAGTTACATGACTCGGAAGCTAATAGAAGAATATAACAAATGGAGTCTTGAAGTCAGCATTAAGAAAACTGAAGCCATGTGTATTGGAGTGACAAAACAGTCCATTATATTAGACGATGGAGTAGAAATTAGACACTGTGATGAATTCAAGAACCTGGGTATGAAGATAACTCAAGATGGAACACTCGTTGCTGCTATAAAAGACAGAAACATACGGGGTAGAAAAGCCATATCCATGATGAACGGGATTCTGTGGGACCAGACAATATCTAAAGCGAAAAAACAACTCATATACAACACCATACTTAAAAGTGTAATCACATATGGCAGTGAAGTTTGGCAAATGCAAAAAAGAACAAAGAAACTGTTAGTAGCAACAGAAGTGGACTTCTCGAGAAGAACAGCATGCAAATCAAGAAGAGATCGGATACCAAATGAGAGAATACGAGAAATGATAAGACTCAAGCATACAATAGTTGGGGACGTAAAAACAAAACAGTTATTATGGTACGGCCATGTACAGAGAATGCTAGATGACAGGATTCCGAAACAGATTTTGACGTGGACACTAGAACTAGGAGAAAGAGAAATCCCTCCAGGCCTATTGTTAAATAGAGAAGAATGGCGGTTAGGAGTCGAAAGGCGTCGTAGAACGCTGTAAACTGATAGTAGTAGTATAGAATAGCGTATATAAACCAGAAATATAAACACTTCGAACTATTATCAATGAGATTAGAAACAAAATCAAAGATACAATACAAGCATATTTTGAAGAAAAATGTGAAAAAATTGAAGAACTTCACAATAATTATGATTTGTTCAAGCTACACAAAAAAAGATATAAAAATAGCAGAGTTAAGCCCGAATCCAACGGCGCGTGGAGTGCCAGTCCTCGCGCTAAACTTTTACACTACAGCCACTACACTTACAGCTAGTTTACACGCTGTTAAATAGGACAAACTTGGCGATCTTCTGTTAGGGTGGTCTCTCGTTCTTTATTGGTAAATCAACGCGGTTCAAAGAAATTCGGAAGCTGATCGTAACAGGTATTTACCGCTGCAAACTCTGCGACGCTTCTTCTTCTTCTTCTTCCTCCTACTTTATTAATAGGCTTAATGCCTGTTTTACTTCGGTTTTTAGCCTCAGTTGACGTTGTCTGATCATCTTTTCCTCGGTCGTCCCAGTGATCTTCTTCCATTTGGCGATTTGTCTCTTGCTATTCGTACTATTCTATTTTCTGTCATTCTTTCGATGTGTTAATCTACTTTTCTTCTTTTGGTCCACGCGTTTATTTCCTCTATACCACATCTCGCTCGTATTTCCTCACTTCTTACTCTGTCTCTTAGAGTTTGGTTTGTTATTTTTCGTAAGACTTTCATTTCTGTTGTTTTCAGCAGTCTTTGTGTTTTCGCCGTATCTGCTCTTGTTTCCGCTGTGTATGTCATTATCCGATGTATAAATTGTTTATTTATACATCCTGGTTTTCGTTTTCGTTGTGAGGTATTGGTTTCTCCAGATTGTGTTGTTAAGACATTCTGCTGCTCCGTTTGCCATGTTCACTTGTTTTTGTACTTCTTCTTTAACTTTTCCGTAGCTTGCCAGTTTTATTCTAAAGTATTCAGTTTCCATCACTTGTTCTATTATTTTGTTATTTACGACTAGTTTACATCGTCTGGGTTCCGCTGATATCACTATTGCTTTAGTTTTCTCTGTTGAGATCACCATGTTGTATATGAGCGCCGTATCTTCGAATTCTATAATTAATCTTTGTAGGTCATCTTCATTTTCGGCTGTTATTATGGCGTCGTCTGCGTAGCGTATTATCCTTATTTCCTTTTTTCCCATTCCATATCTTCTTCTTTTTTTAACTTTCTTTATGATTTCATCCATTATCAGATTCAATATTAATGGGCTCAGTGAATATCCTTGTCTGATGCCTTTCATATTTGATAGGTTGCGATAGTTTTCCTTTACATCTTACCATAGCTATGTTATCTTTATATATACAGCGTCTCCATTACAAAGATAGGCCTGGATAACTTGGTAAACTAGTCCTGCATCTCATCGTACCGACAATATATAAATCAATTGGCGATACTTCTCTAATGTAACTACATCTTGCCTTGGGTGAAGTATCATAACTCTAGTAGAAGTCACAATTAGAATGTAGTGCAAGTAATATGGACAATGTATTTCTTACGAAAGAATGGCCAACCACGTTGCCGGTTTGCCACGAGCGGCGCATCAAGACCGGATTTAAGAATCATAGCACTGGGATATACGCGCACCCAATAATTCCTTACAGTTGTATAAAATACTGTCATTATTGTTTTCATCTAAAGTATCATTCAATCATCTATGTACAAATAAGAGAGTTACATTGTCGAATAAACAATATCCTGAAGAAAAATACTAAAATACTATAAAATAAAAAAGTCAAATATATCAAAAACTCATTTTCAATAGCTTAATTGTATTTATCAATTTTTAAAAGCTTCCATTGTAAATCCATTTTTTGGGAAATAAAGATCATTATAAAGTTATTAGGAGGAGCGAACCAGTTTTAATCCCCGTTGTTCACGAAAAGCAAACATGTCTCTTTGTCGATTTGGGTACTGGCCATTAGACCAAAACATTGTTGGCAAAAACTATGAAAGCTCAGTTCTATTTGGTTTACGCAAGCGGGTTAAAGTACCTACGTCATGGAGCCGTTGCCAGTATGTCGTGAATTTGAAACACAGTATGACTCTTAAGGTCGATTCAGACACATCAGTCACGTCTCGTCACAGTCCTGGCGCTGAACCGAACAATCCGTCATACAAAATATTCTTTAATAGAAATATGGCGCCGGCATTCACATTCATCGGACGACGAACAGTTTCCCAGTTGTCAAATAATTAATAGTTCTGTGACCAAACAGGACCAGTTCGGCGCCGAGACTGTGACGAGACTGATGTGTCTGAATCGACCTTAAATGTGCAAGTAAAACTTGTGCTGATACTTGTATTGAAATATCATCTGAACTTAAAAAATATAACTTGACTATTACTGTGGAAAAAGTTTCGAAAATGTGCGGTGTGAGTGTTTGCAAAATTTGTGACATCCGCGGAGAGGCCCAGCAAGGCGAACTGAAACTGATACAAAAAAGGAAATAAAACAGTTTCCAATCAAATTTTCATGAGAATACTTACAATGAGGCAGTGAAATCTCGAATACATTAGTTTTTTTTTGGAAAGCATGCCACCATCCGTCGACAGCATAATAAATAAAGTGAAGGATGATGAGGACCTACCAGCTTTTTCAAAAACCACATTTTGTAGGCTACTAATTGACATGGGTTTTTAATATGGTAAAAGAGGTTGAGATTCGAGAATGATGGAAAAAAAGATATGATATCCTGGAGACACAAATGCCTCAGATAAATAAAAACATCGAGAAAAAAGGATAATGTAAACCTTGTTTATACCAACGAGTCTTGAACTAACGTCGGTGCTTCACACAGGAATGCAGGGACACACCGATCATGAACCCACCAGATGCCTTCATAAAAGCACTGGACTCTCTACTGGACTAAAAGCACAAACCCAAAGTGGTCATCAATTTGTTCTTCTTCATGCTGGAAGCAAAACTAGTTTTGTGGCATGCGCCAAATTAACTTTCTTGGCTAAGAAGGGGACCGGTACTAACCATGGGATCTATATGAAGAATGGTTTAAAAAGACGTTAATTACAAACTTGCAAAAAAAAAGAAAAAGTTGTCGTTTTGAGTTGAGAAAACTTTGAGTTTCAATTTTAAGGATAAAGGTAAAAAAGACTATTTTTTGTTTTATTTGGTATAGTTGTATATGGTATCCTTAATGAAAATTGTATTTCCAAAAAACGTATTTTATCAGAATTAAAGAAAATTTAATCATTTTAACCTTACCTACGTGGACTACTTGATAATTAGTACAAGTGTAAATAACTGCGTAATTTGAGTAATCGGTTTTTAAAACCTGGTAAAAACCTGCTCCGGGAAGGTACCTGCTAAGTATTCTTGGGAGATTGCTATTCACTTTGTATAAGTAAATGCTTGGATCCCTTCTTAATGGAATTGCGATTCCGTCACTAATTGAAAAGCTACCAGTCCTAAAAATAAAATTATTTAAATATACTTAAAATTATTGATTATAGTGAGTTTGGGTTCAGAAACGAACTAGGAACCAAAGAAGCTTTATTTGCTTTTATTGTGTTAGCTCAAAGATGCACGGATATGAACGTTTATATGCATGTTTGTTACGTTGATTTTGAAAAAGCATCTGACAGAGTAAGACATGAAAAATTAGTCGAAATTGTAAAGACAAAAAACATAGACCATAGGAACTTACGAATAATAACAAACCTCTACTGGAATCATAGAGCACAAATCGTAATATATAACGAACCCAGTCCAGAAATTAAAATCAGGAGAGGAGTTAGGCAGGGATGTATTATGTCCCCATTACTATTTAATGTATATAGTGAAGACATTTTTGAAGAAGTATTACTATCTCAAAGTGAAGGAATTATAATTAACGGAAGAACAACATAAGATATGCAGATGACACCATGATTATTGCAACATCTGCTGAACAACATCAATTACTGCTAAACAAAACAAACAGTTTCTGTGAAAAATAAGGACTAAAAATGAATACAAAAAAGACCAAATACATGATAATAACAAAGAAAATAAATATACCATATAAACATACATTTGGGAAATATACCGATAGAAAGGGTTGATAAATACAAATACCTAGGAACCTGGATTTCAGACAATAATGATCAAACAACCGAAATAAAAGCCTGGATAGAAATAGCAAGAAATGCGATTGTAAAAATGAAAACAATTCTCTGCAACAAAGATCTTAAATTAGAACTGAGAATAAGAGCACTGAGATGGTTCGTGTTTTCGATACTGCAATATGGACTTGAAAGCTGGACATTGAAGCAAGAACACATAAATTAGTTACAGTCCTTTGAAATGTGGTGTTACAGGAGGATGCTTAGAATAACGTGGACACAGAAGAAAACTAAGACGGAAGTATTGCGAGAAATGGTGCAAAGAATGCGAAATAATAAAAATAATAAAAATAAGAAAGTTACAATATCTAGGACACGTAATGATGGGAAGGCGATATGAACTGCTAAGGCTGATAATACAGGGAAAGATAAAAGGAGGAAGGAGTATAGGAAGAAGGAGAGTGTCATGGTTGAAGAATTTAAGGGACTGGTTTAAATGCAGTTCTATAGAACTCTTCTGAGCAGCAGTAGATAGAGTAAAGATAGTGACGATTATATCTAACCTCCGATTAGAAGACCGCACTTAAAGAAGAAAAAAATTATTGATAGCTATTATAGATGTTTACAAGTTAATAAAAATAATATATTGTGTTTGTAATGAAATTAAAAAGAAAGAGAGTTGACCAGTTTACTATAAGACTTGGAAAATAGTAAGAAAAAGACTAAAATAGTAAATAAAAAATGTACAAAAGTTCACCAAATAGATGAAAGGTAATGGGTTGAATATTATAACAATTTATATATATACATTCGGTTTTATAACGTCTTACGACGTTGTCCGACTCCCAACCGCCACTGTATTCGGTCTTGAGTTAGGTCTTCGTCCAGATTTCGGGCGCTAATCGCTTTCCTAACTCCCAGGTTCCAGCTCTGTGGTGGTCTTCCTCGTTTCCTCTTCTCTGGGGGTTGCCACATCATCGTTTTTTTTAGGCAATCTTTCGTCCCCCATTCGGCTCACATGTCCATACCATATGAGCTGTTTTCTCTCAATATCCTCAACTATAGTGCCCTCTATACCCATTTGTTGTTTTATCACTTCATTCCGTATTCTGTCGGCTCTTGATATTCTCATCGATCTTCTGATGGCATCCATTTCCGTGGCTTCGACCTTTTTCTTATATTTTTTGGTTATTCTCCATGTCTCAGCTCCATAAAGTAGGCTAGTTTTAACCATTGTCTCATAGATGTTCCATTTTCTTTTCTTTGATATTTCTTTACTCCATAGAACTCCGTTCAAACATGCTATAGCTCTTCGTGCTTGTACAATTCGATGTTCTATTTCTCGTTCGTCTTTTCCACTACGGTCGAAGATGACGCCCAGGTATTTATATTCGTCACATGGATTTACTTTTTGATTGTCATCGATATCGAGTTGTTCTGCTTCAGCTCCAATTGAGAGGTATTTTGTCTTTTCTAAATTGATATTTAATCCCCATTTCTGGTATTCTTCAATTAGTTTTCTAAGCATGTATTCCATGTCGTCTTTGTCATTTGAGATCACCACCTGATCATCTGCAATAAGATGCAGAAAATATAACAATTGCATGATGCAGATGCAGAAAATGTAACAATTTATACGAAGAGAAAAAAGGCACAAAATAAGAAGACAGCGTAATGAAAGAAAGAGAAACGTTATTAGACCAACCAACCAAAATATAATGCAATTAAAAAATAGAAAAACCTCCGTGCTGCGACTAATCAACAGCAATAGATATTAAAAATTGGGGAAAATAACTACAACAAAGTATATTCAAATTAATAGAACAAATTTAAATGTACGAAAAGGTGCCCAAACAAGTCTGACCGAATATACAGAAAATATCGTAGAAGATTTTAAGATAGATTACAAGAAAGCAAAATCTTTTTATTTAACCTGTCCTATTCACTTAATATTTATTAAAATGTAATATTGCATTTAAAAAGTGACTGTATCTTTATCTATTAATGATTTTAAAAACAGATATTGTAAGATAAAAAAAATTGTAAATAGATATTTCATTTTAGTGACGTCTAGTTTTTAATCCAATATTATATTCCAAAATAGTTGGGGGAAAAAGGTTTGGATACACTCTCTAAACATCTAGATAATCGGGAAAAAAATATTTTCGCATTTTCGTTTATATTGGCCATGGCATGCTTACATAATCAAAATTTTCATAAAAAAGTTTTAAACCGTTTTGAATGAGTATTAAAAAATTCGGTTTTTTGTAACTTTAACACCCTGTAACTTTTTCTGTTTATTATAAAATACTTATTTTTATCCCTAATAATCGTGATATAATTTATGACTAATCTTTTTATGACACCTTGTATTTATGAACTGTTAGGTTTGTATTGCTTACCATGCACTTTTCGCATTAACTACAACATCAAAATGTCCTCGATAGCTTTCTCTTAAATCTATTGTAACGCAGCTACTAACCAGCTCCATCAGGTAAAACGATCTTTCAATCTCATACCATACACCAGCAAACTGAAAATATCAACAAGCCAATACATATAATTTAATAATAAAACACTGAAAACTTTTGTTTTCTTTTTTATTATTAGATAAAATAATTTTCCATCCAGTAACGGATAATCACGATAGGATTTTTTATAAGGGGGGAGGTGTATTCTATAATGGTTTATTTTGGGATAAAAAAGTTTATTGTTTATTTAATTAATGGCTTTGGATAACTTAATCTATTTAGCCACGATAATTAATTTGACTACTTGAATTTGTTAATGATGTTAATGACCTGTAGCATTTGTTAACAAAATAGTACTTGTCCTAGATGTAAATTAAAAATATATTGTAAACATCAGTATGACAAGAATCAGTAGATTGACAATCAGGGCCCTTACCAACTCAAAGTGAATATATAGTACTAACGGGGATTAGATAAGATAGGGATACTTTTCACGCTAAGGTGTCTTTCATAGCGACTTTATTACAGCACAAACAGGCAACGCCTAGAAGGTAAATATGTCACATAAGGATAGACAGGGGAAACAAAGCTAGACTCATACTTTCACAATACACATTTCATCCTAAGTTTTTCTTTTAGTTTTTTTTTAAAGCGTAATAAAACGACGAAAGATATATAACATATAAGATTGACTATGAGGAAGAGGTATTTGTTCTTTTATCAGATTTTCCAATAGATACTTAATAGCAGCATCATTATAAATGCACCCGAACATCCAATGATTGATATCGTCAGTGTTACCATTACAATCGCAGAGTTCTGTTTCACTTAAATTAAATCTATAAATATAGGCTTCGACAGTAGCATGATTAACCAAAGCATCTAACAAACTTTGAATATACTCTTCTATTGGGATGACTTCTTACAGCAAAAGGAGCAATATGTAAAACAGAGTGAATTTTGTATAAAGGTTGACTTCTGTTACAGAAAACATTCCATTAAATTTTCCAGTTTTCTTTCAATTCTTGTTTACACAGCGAGACTAAATCACTTCTATTGAGTTAGCTAATTTTGAATCCTTTTGAAGCCGCTTTTTTAGCAAAATGATCTGCTTTGGTGTTACCTGAGATACCAGCATGTCCCTTTATCCAAATGAAAGCAACTGAACTGTTTCTTTTAAGTAACTTTAGTTGATTTTCTAAAATTTTGACTATAAATACTGTTTTTGTATATCTACTTAAGCGAATTACCTAAAACAGACAATAGTCAATTCTAGAGCTTGATAGATTGCAAACAGTTCTGCGGAATAAATGGAATATTGTTCGTTTATCTTACACATAATGTGTTCATGATTGTTTTGGATATATACCGCACAACCAACTCCTAAAATGGTTTTTGACCCATCTATAAAAATCCTATATGGCTTATAAACTTTGGTTTGGAAATAAAGAATATTGAAATTAGATTGGAAGAAATTAGTTTCAGCTGGGATTTCTAAATAGGAAGAAACCTGTGGAAATGCTATAGCTAACTTTGGAAAATTTTTGTTATCCCACCATTAGGAATTTATGTTTTTGTGTATTTATAAATTTGTTATGCCACTATGTGTGTTGGATAAGGATTTTTAGAAGTGTAAAGACAGAAATCATCGGCGTTCTGTAAAATATTACAATTAATACCCATATCATGTAGATCCATGGAACATATATAACCAAAAAGATATAGTTCATCATATGTATACCAATGAACCATCTCAAGTCTTCAATAATAGATTTTTTGTTTATTTTATTATAAAAGCTAAACTATTTTAATTGGAATAAATAAACGGCTATAAAAAATAGTTATTGTTTACTATGTGAAGCTGTTTTCCGATAAATACAAATATTGATTCTTTTTTTAGCTGGTATCGAAGTAGTTATGATTAATTGCAGCCATGTGTGTTATGTCCAAAATGTTAATAGTTGATTTACATTCAATAGCGACGTCTTAACGAAATGCAGATTATTTCAACGCCTGATTTATTCATATCAGTTAAAAAACTATTACAATGTATAAATATCGGCATTTTTGATATTTCGTGACCACACAAATCAGCCAATCTAAGTGTCATATAAGAACCAAGAATTATGGCATAACTACACTGATCAAAATAAAAAAGGAGCCTAGAACAGGTTTCCCGAAGTAAAAATTGAACCGTCAAAATAAACTTATTTTAAAATTAAATTGTGGCTTATTCCCATTAAAAATACTAGTAAGAATTAGAATCTTGTCACATCCTGAATATAGAATATCTGGACTCACAAAATTAAAAACGATCATGTTGGAGAATTCATTGCCAGCAAACCTTCTGAACAGACTTATTTTAGCACAAAAAGTCAAAAAATTCACAAAAGTCAAAATGACAGATTAAACAGAGGTCTCAACAAACCAACAACGAACGGTATATCACTTTATACCATATATTTCAAGCTTAACAAATATACTTAAATGACTTAAAAATGTTAAAAGAACTACGGAATATTAAGATTGGAACCAGAAATATAAAAACGGTATAAAAGTTATACACCAAACTAAAAATACCCATAAATATTAAAGAAAGCTCCAATGTGGTGTACTCTCTACCTAATAATAATTGCAACAAAGTATATATTGGACAAACGTCCAGGAATATGTCGGAAAGATTAGCATTGCACAAGAATGACAATAATCTTAATAAAGTACAAGCCTGTGCATTAAGTGAACATTCAGTCACGATGGGTCACACTACAAAATATGACCAAGTAAAAATATTGGACAGGGAAAGAAAGTACAACAAATGTGTTTTTAGAAATGTGTTTAATTAAAACTACATGAAATATCTTGAACAAAAGAGCATATATTGAGAATTTAAGTGTTGTATTAGTAGTCTAGTTTCAATGAAAGAAACATTACATTTATAAAAGCCACATAAAAAGTACACAAACGATTGGAGGGGTTATTCCAAGTTCAAATGAAATTAAGTGTTTTTTTGTGTTTGGTTTTCACCTTCTACATTGGATAAAAAACTCTGCTGCTTGTTTAATGAATACTATAAGACAGTAAACAGAATAGCTCTACCTTCTATGCCAAAACAGGTATATTTAAATCGGTTCGCTCTGTCCAATATACAAAAAAGTCGACCAGCTTGTTTGTGACACATTTAACCTAGTCTATAAGATACTCTATGGTCAATCACAAATTAAACCGTTGCAATCTAACATTAATCAGTAGTACTAGTAGGTTATTTACCATCCGGCAGAATGAGATCAAATGTTAAATTCTATTACAATAACTTCCTAGTTCGAGTTATATTTGTGTAAGCATCTAGGTTCTCTTGCAAAGTGCAATGCAATGAACTTTTTATAAATTGTTGTTTTATTTGTGAGATTATAAATTGGGATTGAACGCTTTGGAGCACGGATTCTAATTAGAATATTTAACTCATCAAGTAGTACGTTAAGTTATTTCTCAAGTTTGGACACAAGGGCATTCGCATTTATATTTGAATTATACATGTACCATAGTAGATTCTGTAGATTTCAATGCAGCATGTGAAGCTTCGTACAAAGCAAGATATGTGAAGCAATGCAACAATTTTAAATTTCTTTTGAATTCATAAGATTGGTAATGATGACAATTTCAAAAGTCACATGTAGAGCAAAAATTTAAAATAGGTACTCTAAATAATTTAGAACAAATATAGCACTCAAACAATTAGATGCTTTGGCTTGCTTTAATTTATCCAAATATTACCATACACAGATGACATCAATTAACCGTTACAAAAATGTACAAAATCATTTTCAAATTCATTCAATGAATGAAAGAGGTGTGGTTATATGGTGACAGTAACCTGGTGGTGGTCAAACGAAGTTCAAGAAAAAATAAACGAGAGAAAAAAATAAAAAAACGAAATAAAAAATGGTAGCAAGAAAATAAATCTTGTACAGATCTTTAAAATTATAAGGTCTTAAAAAGAAAGCAAAAATATCCGTTGCAAAATCTAATGCACAAGCATATAAAAATCAGGGAGATTGAACCGATGGGTAAGATAAGTTTGATGTTGATATACGAATGCTCAATACTAAGAATCTATTACATGTAAGGTCTTAAAAGAATAGGAGAGAAATCGAGGTGGAGATCTTTATGCAGACATTTAGACAAAGCATGTCTATAAAGGAGGTTATTATGGGTATGGTCCAAGGTAGAAAATGATTGAGAACTGTAATTAGAGCAGACATAACATATAATAAAGGCAAAGATAATGGTGAAGGTCCACTTCAGCAACGTTGGACCCTATAGAGAAGCAAATTGTGGTTCAAATCATTTTAATAGAGAACAAAGAATAGCAATGGTAAGAAAGAAAAATAATACTAGCAAAATACAAAACTCAGGCTGATGAAAGAATCAAAGGACAAAATAAAATCGAAGATGATTGCATACTTAAATGAAATTTAAAAGTTTTAATCTTACAAAAAATAAAAGTAGGAATAGTAAATAACAAACATTAACAAAGAATTTACAAAACATAAGGACATCAAGCTATCACACCTTCTTAAGATAAGCTTTAAATTCTTTTGGAATACTGTAACAATCCAACCTTTGGGAATAATGATTAGCAAACCTTGGTGTTCTAATTAGATGTGAATGAATTTAGTCCATAGTTTGTTCGATGGGGTCTAACATAAAAGGGTTGAGTTAGCCTTGTTTGTCAACTGGGAACATGGAGATTAATTTTTTCTAATAGTTGAGGATCTAAAATAACAGAGTATAGTATACTATAAAATATAGTGAGATCTTTGTGCATGCGTCAGATTTGGAGAAAAGTTATGTTAAGGGACCTTTCCATATATGAATAGTTAATTTCTTCTACCTTCTGGTTTTGTTTAAATGCAACGAATCTAAAGAATTTGTGTTGAACTTGGGTTGTTGAAATTTTTATGGATGGGATATTTCGAAAGTCTTAAGCACAACGTTTGATAAATCCTAAAAGTTGAAGTGATTTTGAGACAACATATGAGATATGGGGGTGTACGATAAGCTGGAATCGAGCACAACACCTAGGTCTTTAATGTGAGCTATAGAGTCTAAAGGGCAACCATTAATAGTATAGATATAATTTGTTGGAGTTTTGTTCGGACCAAAAACTATTAAATCACAATTTTTAACATTAAGTCCCATTCCGTTGCTGTCACACCAATAGCTCAACGGATCCAAATCAGACTGTAGTTTTTGATATTCACCATCATTCTCAATTTTCAAATATACTTTTAAATCGTCAGCAAACATTAGGAAATAAGCAAAGAGGAATCAGGGGACACTGTCATTAACATAGTTATTGAATAGAAGAGGTCCTAGGTATGATCCTTGTGGTACTCCCAAAAGTACCATAATCTCAAATGATTGAAAACGCTAAATACGTACTATTTGTATTCTTTCAGTTAGGTAGAATAATTGGTAGGCCATTGTTGTATTATTTGTTTCACTGGACATTTTACCATATGAAAAATTGGATTCCACTTGCTCACATGTGTGTAAACCCACATTCATTTGATTTGATTTCTGTAATATTCTTGTAATGCAAAATATTTAATTAAGATCATACCTACTTGTAAAATCACTGTAATCTACAACTTAACATAACCTCAAAAATAATAAAAAGTAAAATCATCAACAAATCACTCACTTTGGTCTTATTAACTGCACTGGCACTATCGATTCTTGGACAAGGGCCCAATCCTGACGGTCTCGCCATTTCAAATACGAAAAACATAACACTAAAGCTATTGTACAATGTCTCTTCACCAACATTTTGCTAGTGATATTGAAAAGGTCACTTTATTTACATTTTAGTATCAATTTACTGAATTCATTAACAATATTACCATTTCAAATCGGTACTTAGTAACCAATGCTGTGTATATCGAAAATATGTTTTCGCATTGTAGTCCAGGAACCAGGTAGGGCCAAGGTAATGGGTCAATTAAACTTTATGTTATGGAAACACTAATTTAAAAAACAAACGAAAATAGAAAACACTCATTTGAAACTATAAAGTATATGTAAATGATGTAAAGGCCACATTTCTATTTATACATTTATATATATATATATATATATATATATATATATATATATATATATATATATATATATATATTATTATTATTATCCCAGATTTAGCCATACGGCTCACACTCCCTCTAAGGGGAAAATTCACTCATCCCAGATACCTATGGTATCAAAAGGATTGAGCTCTGGTGGGACTCTTTCCATGTTATCGAGTCCTAGGTGACTTGGTACGTCGGTGTATCTCCCAAAAATTTTCGCACGCATCTGGACGTCGAAAGTAGTACAGATTTCTGCATGATCTTATATAAATGTTCATTTAGACCCAGTTTTTTTATGTTTTCTAGGAGGTTCTTCGGGATGACTCCAGTGGTAGAAAGAATAATAGGTATCGTCTGGGTACTTTCCATTCTCCATTGTCTCCTTATTTGTATTTCCAGATCTCTGTACTTGGCGATCTTTTCGTTGTACTTAACACGCAGATTATTGTTGTTAGGTATCGCCACATCGATTAGAGTTGTTTGTCTTGTTAGTTTATTAACTAGCACGAGATCTGGTCTATTATGTGCTACAGTTTGGTCTGTGAGCACAGTGCGATCCCAGTATAGCTTGTAGTTGTCATTCTCAAGCATACTCTCTGGAGCGTATTGATAATATGGGAGATGGTTTGTTTGTAGAAGTCCCAGTTTAATAGCTATCTCTTGATGGAGGATCTTCCCTACTGAGTCATGCCGTTCCTTATATTCAGTTGCAGCAAATGCCTGGCAGCCTCCGGTAAGATGTTGGATCGTTTCTTGGGCTTGACATCCATATCGGCATTTGTCGTTTTGGACCTGAGGGTCTTTGACAATATATTTCAGGTAATTTTTGGTTGGTATAACCTGATCCTGAATGGCGAGTAATGAACCTTCTGTTTCAGGGAACATCTTTCCTGATGTCAGCCAATAGTTCGACGCTATATTGTCGACATAGTCTTGACTGACCTCATTCGGATGTCGCCCGTTGTAGAGGTTTACCCATCCAGATGCGCATTTTTTCGTTCTTAGTAAGATGGTCTATGCGCATTTCTTGTTATTATTTTGTTATTATTATAATAATAATGCTCTTATTATTATTATTATTTTTATTATTATTTTTGACATTGTTTCTTTATTCAACAACATTCCCATCGATGAAACTATTTCCATCTTGCACTCAAATCCCCCAAGACACATTTTTATAAAATACTTTGTCATTTCACCCCATGGCAAAGACACATTAGATATCATCCTAATATTCAATTCACGATGCAAGTTGAGTCTGAAGCGTCTTTGCCATTCCTTGATATTATTATTCAGAAAAACCCACCTTACAGTTTTTCCTATTCCGTGTTCCGGAAACCCACTCATACAAACTGTTATCTTAATACCCAGTCATCACTCCGCCCAACTCTAGTTATCAACCCTTTTGTTTCCCGTTCCATAAGACTTGGCGACAATAATCACAGGTCATCCGAAATCAATTCAATAACATCTAAACCCCATTCCATCCAAAAAACAAACCTTGCCGCCGGATCAGCCCAAAATCTTTCTACCTTTCATTAAAGGTGTCACTAACAAAATCAGTAGAATTCTTATCCTTTTAAACATCAAAACCATCTTCATTACTCACCCTAACATTTTATATCAGTCAAACATTCCCATACTACTTCAGCCTTAATCCATATTCAACATTATATTCAGACAGGCCACAAAATAGATTTCGAAAAAGCAAAAACCATCGCTCCCATTCATTCTTTAAAATCGAGAATGATTCGTGAAGCCATCGAAATTGGAAAATGGCCTAACAGCTGAAACACATGCGATGACGCTAAACGACTGCCGGCAACAAATCGACCGCTGCTTCAGCGATCCCCCGCCACCACCCACACCGTTTAAGGCTTTTCATTGGATATTGGTGTATCTTTTACGGACTTTTTTTTTCTATCGTTTGCTATTATTTTATTTCCTCTTGTGATTTTTCCCTTTATTTTCCAATATTCATAATTTGATTGTTCCTCAGGTAATCAATTCAACTTTTCGAAATATTCTTATATCCAAAACTGGCCTGATGATCGCTCCGATTTTATTACGTTTATGTAGCTATATTATATAAGTTATTGTTGTCTTAGGTTTTCCATTATTAAGGACCCGATAGGTCTTGGAATCTTGTTGTTTGTCCGTCTCTATGTACGAACTCATGAGAAGAAAGTATAACATACCCAGGTATAAAATACTTCTGGTGTGACTTCGCTGTTTCCACTATTTTTCTCCATTATTCTCTCTCCTTGATTTTCTTTTCTATATTTCTAATCTCCATACTCTTTAAGTCTTCTTCCACTTGTTGTCCCCATCTTAATTTAGGTCTGCCTCTGGTTCTTTTGCTTGGTGGTATCCATTATACATGCGTTACAACTCTTAGTGGATCGCTCTTCTCTCTTCTCATTATGTGTCCATACCATCTAATTCTTTGTGCTTTTATTGCTCTGACTATGCTCTCTTGACCCATCCATTCTTGTATTTCGTGATTTACCCATTGTCTTGCATCCTCTTCATTCTCCCTCTTTGATCCCAGTATTTTTCTGATAATCTTCCTCTAAACAACTTCTTCTGCTCTTTTTCTCTTGCTGTTAATGTAAATGTTTCTGCAGCATATACTACTATTGGTCTTATGGTTGTTTTGTAGATTTTTATTTTTGTGTTTCGGCTTATTTTCTTACCTGTAAACATTTTTTTATTTCTATTAAACGCTGTATTTCCCGCCTAAATTCTTCTTTTTTATCTACACCTTTTATTTCTTTTGTTTGCTAGTAGTCCCAAATATGTGAATGTTTCTACTTCTTGGAAACTGTGTGCATCTATTGTCAGTTCTGTCATTTGTGTCTTCTTTTTCTTCTTCTATTTAGTTTGTCAAACGCCTGTCTAGGAAACGTATATGTAATTCTTCTTCGTACTAATATATTTTCTCTCTTACTTGTTTTAGAGTATGTATAGCGTTTATCGTGGATCTGTCTTTTTTAAAACCGTACTGGAAATCCCCTATGCTTTGTTCTGTATATATTGTTAGTCTGTCTCTAAATATATCATTACTTGATATGTTACATTCAGTAGATTAATTGCTTGGTAGTTTTTGCATATTCTACGGTCTCCTTGTTTTGAGATTGTCACTATAATTCCCTTCTTCCATTCTTGGAGCAATATTTCTTTGCTTCATATATTCTGTATTAGTATCCTCCCCACCGTATTTTATAAGTTCTGCACATATTCCGTCTCCTCCCGCTGTTTTCCCGTTTTGAAGTTTGCAAATTTTCTCGTTCACTTCTGTATAGGTCAATTCTTATTCTTTTGTTACTCGTTCTTCTCCTCTATCCGTTTTTTTGATATAGTTCTACGAAATACTTGTCCCATTTTTATGCTTCTATAGATATATTAGCTGTCAATTTTCGTTTACCTAATTTTAAGTATTGGTACAATGGTTTTACTTGTGTCTTTTATTTTCTTCTAGTTTTTAATTTTTTTTTAGTTAAATTATTTCCTTGTGCTTTGGCGTTTTTTTGCCTGTCTTGCTCCTTGTTTAATTTTTTTCCACTGTTCCTCCATTTGTTGTTCTTGGAACTGCATCTCTGTATTTACTTCTTGTACAAATCTTCATATTATTTCCTTCTTTTTCAATTTATTTGCGTCCCATTTTCTCCGTGCTTTTCGCCTTCCATTCTGCGTTCTTTTTATTTTACATTTTGTAATTACTAGCATATGGTCCGAATCGATGTTGGCCCCGTACTGACACAGACGTATAAATTGCTAGTATTCTGCTAATTAAACAAATCCCAATTTTGCTATCTCTGTCGCCTTTGTTAAAAGTTTCTTTTCATTGCATTAATACAATTTCATTTTTCTGCATTATATATAAATTACATTATTTAAAGTCAAAAGATTTTAATCTAATCTTGTAAATTATGAAATTTGCCGATTTCTTTGTGAAAGGAAATTTTGGACATCCTGTATAGGTAGGTAAAATTTTTCACAAAATATAAAAACAAAGAGCTGAAAGTTGGCATTTTTATTATATACAAGCAAAAACAACAAACAAATAATTAAATATAATGAGGTAGACAACAAAAATATACATAGGCTTTATATTAAAAGGAACAATAGAGCTCAGCGGAAATCGTGGCATACAGATTGGTCTTAATTCACGGATATTAGCAATAATTGGCATGGCTACCTGTACGCTTCATTTTAAGATTTCTCATATCATTTATAGCAGTAAAAACGAATGCGAGCAAATTGACAATAGAACAGCTATGACGTATACAATGTGTTCTCATTTTCATTGGTATGTGAGAATATTTCGTAAACCGTATAAAATCGACAGTTCGAAGACCCTCATATAATCTTATTCTTGTCTAAACGCCGTGTTTATAGAACATTGATTACCATTATCGTACTTTGAACTCCAACTATTGCTTTTTGAAAATGCGTCGTCGTAAACCAGAAATTCGATCAAGAATAGAGCAATCAAGAGCAGCTTTTTTTAAGATGAGGAAATTTCTCAGTAACCAAAGATTCAATCTGCAAATCCGATATCGGGCGATAAAATGTTATATCCACTCTATTATTCTTTATGATGTTGAAACACCAAAAAGATGAAGATGAAACACCCAAAAGATTGGACTATTAACGTTGATTGATTGAAAAAGCTGGAAGCTTTTCAGATTACGAACGAAATGATGTTGTACAGACTGGGAAGAGATAGAGAGCTGTCGATCACCATTAAAAGAAGAAATACAGTATATTTGTGGCACATCCTTC